ACTAGGGAAAGTACTGCAGGGTGCGGTGGCTCATGCCTATAATCCCTGCACTTCGGGAGGCCAAAGAGGGGAGACTGCTTGAGCCCAGGAGTTTGTGATCAGCCTGGGCACCAAGGTGAAACCCCATCTCTACAAAAAATACAAAAATTAGCTGGGTGTGGTGGTGCAGCTACTCAGGTGGTTGAAGTGGAAGGATCACTTGGGCCTGAGATATTGAGGCTGCAGTGACGACAGTGAGCCACGATCACACCATTGCACTCCAGCCTGGGTGACACGGTGCAACCCTGTCTCAAAAAAATAAAAAGTTGCAGAGTAACAGAGAGCCAATGGCATAAATGTAGATCCTGTGCCAGTAGGGCACGGAGTTCAAGGAATACTGTCTTTTTTTCCAGGTAGACTTGGAGAATCGGCCTGAAAGGGGGCAAACAAATCAAGAGAATTTATGTATTCCTACTGAAATAAAGTGCTCACTAGGGGGCAGTGGGGAAAGGAGGTATTTCTCTCAGCATTTCAGTTAACCTTGCTTTGCAATATTCCTGATTAGCATTAAGCAGACATGATTCTGCTGGAAGAAATACTCATGGGACACTAATCCTGCTTAGAGGGTTAACATACTGCTTGATCAAAAACATACGCAATAATGAAAAGTTTCAGGAATTCCTTTTCCTAGGGGTGTGTGTGTGTTTATTTAAGATAGGCTCTTCACATTTAAATAGATTGCTGACTAGCTATTTAGGCAAGCTAGGAATATCTAAGAAGGACATCTCAAGCATCTGAGTTGACATAATGGAAAATGACCTGGCTCTTTAGGAGACCAGACTCTGACAGCACTGTCAGTAGAAGGACCACTGCTAGAGCAGAGAGGCAGCACTCCTACACGGGTTTGTTTGTTTAATTTTTTATTTTTTTTTATTTTTTTTATATGGAGCCTCACTCTGTCACCAGGCTGGAGGGCAGTGACACGATCTTGGCTCACTGCAACCTCTGCCTCCTGGGTTCCAGCGATTCTCCTGCCTTAGCTTCCCGAGTAGCTGGGACTACAGGTACGCACCACCACACCCAGCTTATTTTTGTATTTTTAGTCGAGATGGAGTTTCACCATGTTGGCCAGGATGGTCTCAATCTCTTGACCTCGTGATCTGCCCACCTCGGCCTCCCCGAGTGCTGGAATTACAGGCGTGAGCCACCGCGCCCGGCCTCCTACACGAAGTTTTCTAGAGCACTGGCTTACAGGCTGTCATCTGCCCTCTCACACACGACAGCTGATGCTCACTGGCACAGTCTCTGGCAGCCTCGCCCTAACTCCACCTTTTCCATTTAGGAAATCTATCAGAATTTGAGCGAGAGTAATATAATTATAGGGATAACTTTGAATACATTGGAAAGGTGAGTCACAAACTAGTTACAAATTAGTTGTGGTAGACCTGTCAACTCATTCTGATACTCTGGTGTGCTATAAAACCAGCATTCAGACATTCTGCTCTGGAGAGCAATGGGCGGTTTTTCCACTGAGTCAAGATTCTTTACTAACACTGTTTAGAAGCAGAATTTTTTTCTCCTAATGAGTATTTCTTAGACCATTACTCCTGCTATATATAAAGGAAATATATCTGGCTCAAGTCAGAATGAGCAGCATCACTCTTGTTCTACTCGAACAAATGTCACGAAAGCAGCTTTTTATTAAAGTAGCATAATCCTCCTTAGCTCCTGGAGGGAACTACAGATTCATAGAATGTTACAGCTGGAAAGGGCTTTACAGCATCTAGAAAAATGTCCTCAGGCTGGGGGCGGTGGCTCACGCCTGTAATCCCAGTACTTTGGGAGGCAGAGGCGGGTGGATCACCTGAGGTCAGGAGTTCGAGACCAGCCCGACCAACATGGTGAAACCCTGTCTCTACTAAAAATACAAAATTAGCTGGGCGTGGTGGCACATGCCTGTAATCCCAGCTACCAGGGAGGCTGAGGCAGGAGAATTGCTTGAACCTGGGAGGCGGAGGTTGTGGAGAGCCAAGATTGTGCCATTGCACTCCAGCCTGGGCAACGAGAGTGAAACTCCGTCTCAAAAAAAAAAAAAAAAAAAAAAAAAAAAAAAAAACAGAAAAA